ATATATATATTTATTACTACACACACACACACACACACACACACACACACACACACAAAATATATTTTTTACAATAATTCTTTTGCTGCGTAAAATTTTTATTATTTGCATATAATGTAAGAAACTATTTATTTCTAATTGTATTAAAGGAATTAATAATTGAAACTACTAGCAATGCAATTTCTAGCAAGAAAAATTTCTAGCAAGTTGTACTTCAAAAATTGTTACAAAAGCTTATTAAAGCTTCGTAATTTTTGTATTATCCAATTCAATTTTAGACAAAATGTTTCAAAAGAAAAATATGCTGTTTTAATAACAAATCTTCTCACTAATCTTAATTCGACGTCGACCTTTTCTAAAATTGGAAATCATGGTACTAAAAATTTTTGAATTATGAGCAAAAAAATAGGTTTTTCAAAAGTTTGATGGCTTCGTCAAACGAAACTTCAGAAACACGATTGATTTATGACTAAATCTTTAGTTAATTTTAAATGAAGTTTACTTTTCAATATAATCTTAATTTGAGACTGAAATTATGTGCATGAAGTTATGTGCATTTCATACTTAAAAATCAAGCTCCTGAAATTTATAATTCTCGTACAAATTTTCCATCATAAATTAACTCTTTTTTTTGTCAATATAAACTTTCATAAATAATTTTATTTGACTTTTTTATTTGAAAAAAAGGAATAACCTATTTTAATTTGGGTTTTTTCCTAACAAAAGTCATTGAATACTGCCCATTAATAATATAGCTTAGATACTACAACGACATTATCGGGTAATATTATGATAAGTCCCAAATTTGGCGGATGAGATAAAGAAATTTTTGTATTTAATAAAATGTTTCTCTGATGAAAAATTTGCCATCTTCTTTATAACAATCGAAGAAATTTTCGATATATTGTCATGTTAAAATGTCTAAAGAAATGCAAATTGATTTGTTTTACATTATTACTTCATATAATTTTTCGATTTTTTAAATAAAAAATGTAAGATTAATAATCATAATATATTTCATATCTTATTTCTAATTCATTTTCTAATTATTAATTCATTTTCTAATTATTAAGTGAAAGAATATTTTGTGATATCTATATTATTTTATTATGGCACTTTACTTAAGACAGTCTTGAAATAAGAATCGATTATGAATACCGGCCTAGATTTCGCCATTCACGCTTAGATTTGTTTGTTTTTTTCGTTTTGCTATCAATAATTGCCATTTGAATGTTTGTAATCATATATGATCCAACTTTATTTTACAGTTTTGATAAATAAAAAGTATTTATTTTTAATTCATCTGAAATAATTGAATATTTATTGATAGCAATATCTCTTCAAGAGGCAATTAAAAATATACGTATACTTAAACGATAGAAATTTGACAATAATTTTGCCCTTCATTTATAGTACGTGATCGCTGAATTATCAAATACAAATTCTTTCAGGGAAGAGAAATCATATTTTATAAGAACGTCAATTTGTTATAATTGCACATATAAGTATCAAGAAGCATCCATCATAACTAAAACACATCAAATATCTTTTGT